GGTAGGAAATTCGTTCTTCCAGATGTTGAGCCCTTAAAGTGCCATCAGGTTTCTGTGGTCCATCCTCCAGAGGGGTGTCTGATGACATAGAGGCCTGTGGCCCGCACATGCATTTCTTGCCACTTGTGCCTTGTGTCTTCTGTGTTGCTGTTACTCTGTTCTGACTCTCGTGACTCTCCTGGTATCTGATTCGGCTTGTCTTGACTATTCTTTGTATTCTCCTTTGATCTGACCCTCTGTTGCTGAACCCGGCTCGTGACCTGTGATTCTCGTCTGCTGTCCTGTACTGTTCTGTCCTGTTGTTGTTGACCCCGGCTTGTCTGACTACTCTTTTGTCTTTTCCACCAGCTACACGCCATTGGCGGCGGCCATTACCGCAGCTGAGGTGTCTCGGGGGCCGCGACCTGGTTCCTGGCTGCGTCAAGTCCATCCCCACCATCAGGGGCCCTGGTGAAGGGCAGCCTGGGACTTAGACTCCGCGCCCTGAGGGACTTCGGTCTGTGGGTGGTGTTGTCGTCAGCCAGTGCGTTACATTGTTAGGCCTGCCTGTCCGTTCCTCAGCTCCTGCCCTGACATGTACGAGGATTGGCCAGCGCGATCATGTGACCCCACATAACAATGAGAATCAGTTCTTACTTCTGGGACCGAAGATTCTGGTAGGAAAGCTTCGTTCTTCCAGTTGTTGCAAAACTTAAAGTCCCATCATGCCTCTGCCTTTGGGTCTTGCAGTGCCTCATACCACTTGCAGTTCTGCAACAGTTAGAGGGCCAAAGTCTGCCTGCCTCTGGAATTCTGTCATTTGGCTTGCCACTGCTATTGCCAACACTGTACATAACAGACAAGCACCGTACTGAAGCCTTGAAAAAGTATTGTCTGATTCAAACAAAAAATTCAAGCTAACAGATATTAAAGTTTATTCTGATAATATTTTGCTTTTCCTCCCAGCCAGCAGCTGAATAGGGCTGGGGATAAGTCATCAGTTGCTAGGAAGCCAGCCACTGCACTAAAAACCATGAGCCTTGGGCAGGAATTGGTCACATTCATGACACCTTCCCAGGACAAAATGCCCCCACTCTGGGCACTGACATCTCTCTATACATCAGCTCAGAGCTGGTCTAATTTCTAGTAATTTGTGCACTAGCGGTAACAGACTTCGAATCTGCCACAGCCATAACAACAGGTTCTTAATGGGGGGAGGAGGAGGAGGAGGAGGGAGGAGGAGGGAGAAGGAGGAGAGGAGGAGAAGGAGGAGAAGAAGAAGGAGGAGAAGAAGGAGGAGAAGAAGAAGAAGGAGGAGGAGAAGGAGGAGAAGGAGGAGAAGAGGAGGAGAGAAGAAGGGAGGAGGAGGAGAGAAGAAGGAGGAGAAGGAGGAGAAGAGGAGGAGGAGAAGGAGGAGAAGAAGGAGGAGAAGGAGGAGAAGAAGGAGGAGAAGAGGAGAAGAAGGAGGAGAAGAGGAGGAAGGAGGAGAAGGAGGAGAAGGAGGAGGAAGAAGGAGGACCTACCGCCAGAGGAGAATCCTTACTTTTTTATGACCGTTCTATTTAGCAGGGCTCAAATGGGATTTGAAAATATTTTCAGCTGTGCGGCTGTCAAAAGTCCTCATATTCATGTAAAACTTTGTGAATTGAGCCTATGGTCATTAGTGTGCATAGCAGCCGCACATTAACTGGGTAAACAATGTAAGCCTGCGGAATTATAACAGTCATGACTGGCTCTCACTAAAAAGTTCATTAACACAGTTCTTACCCAAGACAATTTTATAAACATGGTATATGTGCTTTTACCTGGCACGATATGACCCATTTTAAAATTTTCAGTAATGGGTAGAATTCAACTAAAGCGCAGCACAAATTACAATGCAATTGCAAAGTCTGGACACATGAAAATATCACCAACTGCACCTGTGTTCAAAATAATAGCAGTACATTTAAAAACTGAATAAGCCCCCGGTCACATCGGGTGCAACTTGGCATGTGATTTGCATACCCCCGAGACTTGCAAACCGTACGTCAAGTCGCACCCCATTGTCCACTATTAGAGATGTCATATTGGTGCGGTTCCGACTCGGTCGGAGCCGCACCGATTTCTACAGTAGTGCATGCACTACTTTTGTTGTGATTTGCATATATAAATCGGTGTCAGATGTCTTGAAAATCGCAATGAAATTGGCAGGTCACCAGACTTTTAAATTTTGCAACTTCATTGTAAGTCGCACAATTCAAAATCGGCGTTGATGTGACTAGGGGGTAAAGCTCAAAATCCTAGCTATTACTTTCATACACACAAATGCACTGGGAACACTGCACAGTCTATTCCAAATCAAAAGATGAAGAAAAATGTTTCAAAAGTGTTATTACTTTACAGAAAATGAAAAAGGAATATTACGCTGTTAAAAAAATAGCACTGTCTGCACTTTTCTTTGCAAACTCAAACATTATATAAATTTCAAAATGCTTAAAGATTTAGCTTTCCTGTGAAATCACTGAATATTTAATTGTACAACCACTGTTTCTGAGAACTGCTTCCCATCAGTGTTGCATGGAATCGACCAACTTCTGCCACTTATGAACAGCCCAGAACGATTGCACTACATTCCACAATTCCTCTGCATTTCTTGGTTTTACCTCAGAAAATTGTATTTTTGGTTTCACCCCACACGTTTTCTATTGGATTAAGGTGCGGGGATTGGGCCACTCTATATTGTTAATCTTATTGTTCTGGAACCAAGATGCTGCTCACTTACTGGTGTGTTTGGGGTTGTGGTCTTGTTGAAACATTCATTTCAAGGGCATTTCCTCTTCGGCATAATGCAACATAACCTCTTCAAGTATTCTGATGTATTCAAACTGATGCATGATCCCTGGTATGCGATAAATAGGCCCAACACTGTAGTATGAGAAACATCCCCATATCATGATGCTTGCACCATTATGCTTCACTATCTTCACAGTGTACTGTGGCTTCAATATAGTGTTTGGGGGTCGTCTGACAAACTGTCTCCGGCCACTAGACCCAAAAAGAACAATCTTACTTTCATCAGTCCATAAATTGCTGTGCCATTTCTATTTAGGCCAGTCAGTCAATGTGTTCCTTGGCACATTGTAACCTCTTCAGCACATATCATTTTTTTCAACAGTGGGACTTTGCGGGGGCTTCTTGCCAATAGTTTGGCTTTGCATAGGCAGCTTCTAATTGTTTCAGCACTCACAGGTAACTTTAGACCTTCTTTGATCACCCTGGAGCTGATCATTGGCTGAGTCTTTGGCTATTCTTTGAGCCATTCAAATGGTAGTTTTCCGTTTTCTTCCATGTCTTTCTGGTTTTAGTTGCCATTTTGAAGCATCGGAGATCATTTTAGCTGAGCAGCCTGTCGGTTTCTGCACTTCTTTATGTTTTCCCCTCTCCAATCAACTTTTTAATCAAAGTATGCTGTTCTTCTGAACAATGTCTGGAACGGCCCATTTTACTCAGATTTTCGGAGAAATGCACTATACCAAACATGTACGTTTGCTGCCTTCATCCTTAAATAAGGGCCACCTGTTTGACACCTGTTTTATTTCACAGATAGAATGACCTCACTAATTAAACTCCACACTGCTATTATTTAAAACACACCCATTTCAATTAATGATTCAATTACACAGAATCAGCAGCATGCATGTCATGACTGTTGGGTCTCTTGGTTTTCTATTACCCTACTACACTTGCTAGTAAATTATTGCCATGTAGAAATATAATTTATACCAAAAACAGTGATTGATATTGGACTGTGTTTTTTTTTCTCAATATGCATTCTGCCTTTGTGTCGAGATTTTAGGAACACCCTGTACAATCTCCTATTTCTAGGAGATTCTATAGATATATTAACAGTATGTAGCACAAGGCCCTGCCTCATTGTACACAGACTGATTGGATAATTTAGGTAGGTCCTCACATTACATAGTTTTGGTAGATGTAAAGCTGATTGAACAGAGATTGTAAGTGTATGGTGAGCCTTAAAGTGGAACTATAGGCTCCCCCTAAAATACCCGTTGATGCACTGAACTTCACCTAATGAAGCTTCCTATAATGTCTTTTTATCCACAAAGTACAAGTAGGCACAGACTATATTTGGGCAACAACACTGCTCTGAATAGCAGTGCAGCAGTGTTGTCTCCCAAATGTGCTTGCTCACGCTTCTTTTGGATGAAAACACATTGCAGGGGGAATGGCTACAGTCTTACAACAATGAATACTGTTTACAAGTTTGATTTGTACTTTGAACTTCTAAAACGGACAGGAGGCTGGAGTGAAAATGCTATGATTAAAGCCACATGCCTGTATGGACAGTGGGGTTAGGGGATAAACTTTCTACCTGACTACATAAAATGCTTTGCTAGATTTGTACAGAGTATGAAAGGGTTACAACTACTGTAAGGTTTTACTAGTGCCAGTGTCCCTATTGGGATGACTGCTTCTTGCTCACGGTTCCTGTGACCAAAGGTACTGAAACAGGGTGGGAGGATAATACCCCCAAAGGAAACATTTACACTTAAAAACAAAAAACCAACACCTTTCAAAAGAATTATACCTTTCTCACTATACTAGAGACATTTATGTGTCGGTGATTACCAAGACAAGAAGCGAGGTAAAATTAAAGCAATAAAGCCCTTCTCCACTCTATCCAGAAGCAAAATTTAAAAAAAAGCCTGGAGTTTTATTTTTAGGTCAATATAAAAATAAGTATAGGCATATAATAGATATGCATACTAAACAAATACATTTAAAATACTAAAACCTATTACTCATCTATAAAAATATTAGTTACAGCAAGTATAGTCTAGCATACAGTAAAAAAAAAAAAAAAAAAAAAAAAAAAAAAAGAACAACAACATTATCAGACAGTTATAAAAGGTGAAAATGAAGGTTCTGCAGCAAAAAAAAAAAAAAAAAAAAAAAAAAAAAAAAAAAAACCCACACTCCTCACAGCTTCCAGAGTTTAGGAGAATGCTGCAACTCACTTGAAATGACCTTTCCATGGTAATTGCGAAGTAATACTCTCTCCTGGGATATCTGCGCTCGCAGATGAACACATGGTTACATATCCTGCCCTTTTCTCCTGTCTGTTTCGTAAACAACTTCTTTCCAATCATCTGTGAGGAAATGGCTTTGGCTTCTTCGGGACTAAAAGGAAAGGTAAATGGAAAATGAAGGAGCAGAGCAAACTGAAATAAAACAGACATGTACTGCATTTTTTAACAGCCTGTCACCTTGCTTCAATTTCATTTCTTTGTGGTACGACAGATGAAAATGTGAGCATGATAGAATGCATTCAGCACATTGTTACCATTATAAACTGTGCAGCTCTGACATTTTCAACAACAACAGCAAACCATTTCTGAGTGGAAGACTTGCATCTGAAATTATAACACTGAAATAATGGTGCATATGAAATCTGTCTTATTTACCCATGATGGTTGGACTGTACAAGCATCCAGAAAAGCCTAATGGTAATGAAGAGGATGTAGGAATTTCTAGGAAATATATGCTAGAAAGACTAGGGCACTGTTGAACCAACATACGTAATAGTTTGGGTTTGTGCTTCATTTATATAAAATTGTATTATATAGAAATGTAACACAAGATGTATCCATGATACAGGATTACCAGAACACTAAATGTTTACTACCCAGCAGAAGCTGATTTTAGTATGAGCTATTAAGATTTGTTTGTATGTATACACTAGAAACAGTAGTTCTCAACCACTGAGCCATGGGCCCACTGCTGGGCTGAGGCCTCCATCCTCCCAGGCCTCTAGCAACTGCAGATCCCCTAACCTCCCACAGCACCTCCTGACGCTCATAGTGGCCCACCAGTGCTTTCAACCTCTCACAGTGCCCCCAGACCCCCTTAGAGCCCTCATTCCCTACAGTGTCTGCAAACATTCCACAGTGCCCGCTGGCTTTCTGCAGAGCCTCTACCCCCCTCGTGCCCAAATCCTTTGGTATATGATGTGTGGCCCTTGGACATCAGCAGTCTGCTGTGGGAACATCGATTAGGGTAATAGCCTTGACCTCTACTAGCCTCATATTCCCAATTTGGAATCGTCATCTACAGCATATCCCCAGCCACAAATGTAGCAGATCCACAATCTGACCCTCATATTTATTTTTTTGAGTAGTTCTGCAGTTTTTGACAGTCCTCTCAAGCATTACATATATTGAACAGTATGTGTGGTCGGTCTTTTGGTGATGTTGGGGGTGCATTTGAGGCCCGCTTTAGGTCATATAATAATGATAACCACTGCTCTAGTCCCACATACAGCTCTCAACAATGCCCCCCAGCCCCAACAGTGCTCTCTAGTCTCCCAGATTGAGACCTGAAGCCTGTTCAGACAGCCCATTCCCCAAGCTACCTTCAGAAATCTCTTTCCCTACAGGACCACCAAGGCTGCTGAAGAGTCCCCTAGCCCCCTCCAGAATATTCAGCCCCCACCCCCCTCCCCCAGTGACACCCATCCCCATCCAGAGCCTTCAAAATCTCAAGACATATTTTTGCTCCCAATATTTTTTTAAACTTTTGGGACTCAAAGGTTTTGAAAAGAATCGGGTCTCAATAAGGTTAACAGCCATTATCTGAAAAATCTAAGCATACCTAAAGGAGTGTCCATTCAATCCAATGGCCAGAATGAATATTCTGGCCAATGGAATCTATAAACATTCAAACGCTTTACGAGCCTAAACACATGTGCAAAATGTGACTTTAAGCATGTTTTTAAGCCGCTTTTTCCTACCTTCAGCAAAAGGTGTTCCGAGGAAAAATTCAAACACTCAGTGTATATGAGACCCTTTGATATGTGCAAAACACTGCAGATTACCACTTACAAAAGGCAAAAGAAACTCAGTCTGCCATTACCTATGGACAGACACCCAAATCACAGATGCAAAAGATTCTACCATTGGGTGTATTCTGCAACACAGCCAAGACTGAGGTTTCAGACAGCAGGTCTGGTAAGTTTTATTACTTTTCTTTTGGTTAAAAAAACAGAAGTATATTAAAAGGAGCACTGCACCTCTTAATAAAGGACAGGAAGCCTGATCTCTGAACTTTTTGGAGGCAGTTGTCAGCAGGAGTACCCCAAGGAGTTCCAGGTAACATTTTGGAAGAATAAGAGCACCACTTTGATTTGTTTAGTCCAGCATGAGGGTTTTTGGGGTTTTAGTTTTGTTTTTGTTTTTTTTTTTAGATGCAATGTAAAAAGATTTTCAGAGGCCCAAAAATCCCCCTTCATCACAGCTTGTGCTGACATCTCTCACAAAAAAACTTTGAGCTTAACAGCTGTTGCTAGACAACAGGAGAGCAGACTGCATGAATGCAGTTTGAACAAGCCAGAGTGCCTGCTGGGGGTGCACTTCTAACCTCTAGTCCAGGGGTGTCAAACTGGTGGCCCTCCAGCTGTTGCAAAACTACAAGTCCCATCATGCCTCTGCCTTTGGGAGTCATGCTTGTAACTGTCAGTCTTGCAATGCCTCATTTGGCAACAGCTGGAGGGCCACCAGTTTGACACCCCTTTCTAATGCATCCTGCTATTAGGGCTTTGGGGTTTGCCTACCTGGAGAGTTTTTGCAAACACACTTTACACAGCCTATGAAAATGGAGTATAAAAGAAAAAGTGGTATGCAGGGGCAGACTGACCATTTGGAAACTCGGCCACCGCCCGAGGGCCTGGTGTCAGTAGGGGGCCCCATGAGATGCCCCTGGTACCTTTTTCATACTTTTTTGAGTTTGGGCAAGGACACAGGGGCCCCATGATCCCCTATTGTCTGGGGGGCCCCATGAGTTGTCAGTCCACCCCTGGTGGTGTGTAATGAACAGAGAATGCTGCAATGCATGCTGGGGTTTTGTTAAAAATGTGAACTAACCCTTTAAAGGAGTTACAGAGAGATGACAACTGTAGTTTATGAAACTTCAAGCTTATCAAGCGATGACTTACGAATATACAATCTTCACTCCTCCTTTAAGACCACCTTCAAAGGTCCCCTTGCCTCGACCACCAGCCAACACTTGTGCTTTAACTACCAAATCCTTTGAACCTTCAAAAAATAAATAAAAATAAACAAACTTGAAATGTTATCCATTCATTTGAAGAAAAAAAAAAATTAATTCCATACCATTGCCCATATCCATTTAACTTTATACATACATACTGGAAGGAAAAAATAGGTCTAGTTGGTGTAGCAATTCATAGTAGGATGGAGGAGTTTTCCCCACTTAAAAAGGAAAAAAAGAAATCCCCCCCCCCCCCCCAATGCTGTTCCCGGGCCAGACAACAGTACATAACTTACTGTACCATACAAGGGCTATGATAAAATAATCACTAGGATGGAAGCGAGAGACTACAGAAATGAAAAAAAAAGCAGAAAATTTCATCTGTTATTTCATTACTGTCTGTGTCCTCCCCTTTCAAGAAACTTTACGTGCCTTCCAGTAAGTGGGAAAAACAGGGTTTGAGAGAAAATGTCTCAAACAGGCAACAGCAAAAACCTGGCAAAGGAACATACTACTAAGCCAGCCAAGCCTAGTAGAAAGCATTTCATGATTAAAGCAGATAAAAAGAGAAAAAAAAAAAAAAAAAAAAAAACACACACCACACACACCACCAGCTGAACTGAATATCTTTTTTCATGCTATATATGGACACACAGCATCCATTTTTCTCTGTTTCCTTTGGGGTGTGGGGGTGTATGTTATAGAGGGTATGGGAGTTATGGGATGCTGTGCCTGTATCTCCCCCCCCAGGCCCAATCAAGACAGCGGGGGGGGGGGGGGGTATTGCAGGCACAGCATCCCATAACTCGCGTAACATGCAGGATGAATGGCGCATAAACTGACCACGTCACAGATCTGCATTTGGTGTGGGCAGACTAAATTAGGAAGGGAGGGGGAATGACAGGATCACTGGGAATTTTACTCTCAATGTAATATAAAAGCTGAAAAAGGCTTGATTTAACAGCATTTACATAACATATAGACACATTCTATATTACGTTTTATGGGAACACTTTAAAAAACTGCTGTTGGAGAAGGGATGTGCTACATTGCCACAGCCTAGCTGGGTACGTATTGACCCCTGCATAAGCTTCGGAGAGTACTGCTGGAGTGACTTGCTTAGCCACCCACACCACTTGGATCTGCTCTATGCGGTACATCAAAAACACAGCACAGTACAGAGAAATACTAGCTACTACACTATTTTGTTTCTACAAGCTATTAAAAGATCACAAAAATATTCAACTGGTATGTATCAGCAAAGAGACCTCTGCAACACTGTAGCCAGCTCATGGGCACTTGTGGCAATTGCAAAGCTTTAAACATCAAATGCTCAGAAAAGACAAAAAAATTAACTACATGGGAAATCTAATCACCATTCCTGTGTCAAGAAGCTGAAACAAGATCCACTGCTATAGATAAAAATAGCCAGGCCTCAGCACATTTCATTTCAAGTTTCCCATCTCATAAAAGACGTTTCTGGAGATGTCATACTGATTTAGCATATTCTGTCAATTAGTGCCAAGCATCATAATGAGTGCATTATTTTCCCTGCTGCAATGCACAATTGTTTAACTAGAACAAAGAAAACAGAAGATAATAAAAAAGGAGCAGAATGACACCGGTAAAAATTCAATATTACAAACCAAGCAATGGATACTGGTCATCAAGGGCCTGTTCATACTGAAACAGACAGCTGCCAGAGAGTAAAAAGGAGTGCTTTACCTGTATTGGCAGCTATCTTTTCCAATTGCGATAGCGTGGCGTGGTGCACGACTGAGCGCATCACACAGCTACTTTTTTTAAACATTGGACTTTATTTCAAGTGTACTAAATTACACACCATACATGTCACAGCTGTTGTACAGTGACATGCAATTCTGTACACCATACTGCGATAAAATGCAGCAGGTCTGCATTTTATTGAAGTTTGCTGCAGCAAAAATCCAGGCTGTGTTCCAGTGTGAATATGTGACACAGAAAACAATTGTTCTCGGTGTGTCCTTGCTGTGACCGGCATTTTAAAACATGGTAAAAACACCAGTCATCGCACAGATTGCACACATTTACCCCTTGAATTCTGTGACACATATTAAATATATCCTGCGAGTAGGAACTGTGTCACAGAATCCACAGCAAACTGTACTCCTGAGCTTGGGGATGGACTCAGCAAAGGCTATGATAACAATTCAGATGTCCTGGAAAATGCACTCCTTGCCCTCAGCTCTGAGGAAGAGGCTGAGTCGTGGAAACGCGTTAGCTGTTGGAAGTCCAGGGTTCCATTTATGTACTTATATGCAGTGTGGATTGGACACCGCTGTTTAGTGTGATGTGCCTTTGTCCTGTATGTCAATTGTGAGTACGATAATTACTTTTTATCCTTTTAATAAATATTTTTTACAATAATGCACTAGGCCAATGTGCCCTCTGTTTGTTTTCTTTGTATACAGAATCTGCCATCTGAACGACAGCGGGGTGAAGAGGAGAAATTTCTCAAGGCGAAGTCAGTGTTGGAGTCGCTGCTTGAATGTAGTAATGTACCATGGGATATGTAGTCCTTAGAAATGGAACGCAGAGGAAAATTTTGCAAGAGATGCAGAAAACCCAAGTTACTGCAAGATGGTCAGCAGACAGGTAGCACTCAAAAAATAAAAAAAGGAGATTTTTCGAGGACTTGTAAAGAAAAATGCAAATACTTACCTCTGCTGGCAAGGCCATTGTAAACCTCAGATTAGGAAATCTCTGGGTGAAATCTATGCAGTGTCAAATCTCCCATGTTCCCTCCCATTGACCCCAGTGGGTAGGCCATGGCAGTGATGCAGTGACTTCAGACAGGGATTCTTTGTGATCATGGCAGAGCTAGAGAAGAAAAGTATGTTCTTCTGTAAAAGTGAATTTTAAAAACTTGGTTTAGCAGCAAAGTTGCTTTAAAAGAAACCACACCAAAGACTAATTTCTGAGTTATTGCTCCAAGGTGACTTGACCAATGTCTGAAACCCCAGCAGGGAGGTGTTCCTCTGTTCCGTACACAGCGGTTTCCTTTTCAGCTGAGCTTCCACTGTCTCAAGAAGCATTTGCCATTTTTACTCCTAAGGAAATGAAGAAGCAAGCAGAGCTTAAAGAGGACCTGCACCTGTTACGGCACACACAACCACCCACAGTCATAACACACTGCTTTTTTACAGATATGTTGGGCTGACATTTAGTCAGCACATGGCACTCTTTTTCCCTGCAACTGTATTTTTAAAAAAAGGTGCAGGGGCATTTTTATTGCATTACCCACAGGTACAGCAGCACATTCATTTGACACTACCATCTGAATGTCGCAGCTAAAATCGAATGCCCATTCTTGTCTGACCTCGGACATCAACAAGGCAATTTTGTCCACACAAATGCCGCTCACTGGATATTTTCTCTTTTTTGGACCATTCTCTGTAAACCCCAGAGATGGTTGTGCGAGAAAATCCCAAAAGATCAGCAGTTTTTGAAATACTCACACCAGCCTGTCTGGCACCAACAACCATGCCACGTTCAAAGCCACTCAATTCCCCTTTCTTCCCCATTCTGATGCTCGGTTTGAACTTCAGCAAGTCGTCTTAACCACATCTACATGCCTTAATGTATATAGTTGCTGCCATGTGATTGGCTGATTAGCAATTTGTGTTACCAAGCAATTGAACAGGTGTACCTAAAAGTGGCCGGTGAGTGTATATCCTTTTGACATTTCTTCATGCTTCTCTATTTTGTCCTGCCTCTGTGCTGCCTTGTTTCTGCACTGCCATTTTAAAAATGTCTGATACTGCTCATGCACAAGATGAAGTTCATGACATCACTCACTTAAAAGGGTGGTTCTAAAGGCTTTTTACCTTCATGCCTTCTAAAAACCTTCAGCATGCAGATTCCCCCTCAGCCCCCCTATACTGATCCAACTACGTGCATGGCTGCTCTCCCGGGTCTCTGCCTCCTCACTGGCTGAGACACAACAGTGGGGGCCATTGGCTTCTGCAGCTGTCAATCACAGCCACTGAGAAAGGAGTGGGGAGGGGCAAAGCCGAACCCCATTCTGTGTGTATCTTTTGGACAATCGGAGCAAGCACGCACACGTGTCCCCAGAGTAAGTGGCTTGTCCTGCGGGCACTCGAAGAGGAGAAGCCAGGAGTGCCAATGGGGGACCTGAAAGAGGAGGATCAGGGCTGTTTTGTCAAAAGCACTGCACAGAGCAGGTAAGTATGAGGCTTTTTATGTTTTTTTTTTTTTAATTATACCTTTAATATGTTCATCTTGCACTGTGCTTTTCGGGGAGAAGCCCCTACCCCCCCCCCCCCCCAATGGCTGCCTGTAAAGTGATGCTGCACATGTGTGAGATGAAGCACATGATATGACACACTTCATCCCACATATGACAATACTGCAAGCTCCCACAGTTTAGGTAAGGGATTTCCCTGAAGACAATGATGATGGTACCTTCACAGGGAAAGAAAAAAACAAAATTAGAAAAAAGAAAAAAAAAAAAAGCAACAAAGTTTTAAGCGTTTGCATGTCAGCATGCAGATGTGCACGCTGATAAAATTTAGGGAAAGAGGGAAAAGCTCCTTTTTAAGGGATAAAGCCTGTGGCCTTAGCCTTTTACTACAATTTACATAATAAGATATGGAGGACCCATTTAAGAGGGTGACTAAGAGGAATGTGTTGAAAATCTAAGCCGTCAATGACAACACCAAGGACTACTATCAGCAGTCATAGCACTCATTGTGCACAGATTTTCAGAAAGACAGCATTTGCATAGCCCTTGGAACACCAACAATAAGGCTCTGGTCATTTAAAGGCACAGAATAGGTCTGGAGAGAGACCAAAAACAACATTTTTCAACAAGTCATTCACAAATGATTTGAGCAACACTTGCTGAGATCTAGGGAGCTACGCTGTTAAGGCACTCATGATACCTGCTAGCAATCTGCAGAATACTGCAGAACACTTTTGCTCAATCAAGTCATGTGGCTTTGCCCTCATGAAGCCTCAAAACACATAATGCAATTTTCATTTACAAAAAGTGTAATTCACTATGTAAAAACCGGTTAGAAAGATTAAGCCATACAGCTATCAGTACTTATTAAATGTGCTTAGGTCTAGAACAAAATTACACTCAGACAGAGATTGCCAGCAGCAAAGGCACAGAAGGTTACAAGGTATGTTCAAGACGTAACAGACAATTTTGTTAAAGAAATCTGTTTAACCTGGAATCACGTTCAAGCAAAGTTTAAATGGAATTTATCTTTACAGAATTTGATTTACAATTAGAAACCAGAGAAGGACATATACTACAGCTGGAATTCTGTTGGTAGTCTGCCACATAACTCAGCCATGGTACTCTTTTAGACGCAAATATAAAACGAGTGGGACACAGTGAAAACATAGGGCTGAGGTACTCAGCAGATGTATGAAAAGTTGACACTTCAGGGGTACATAGACAGAGTGTTCCTACTACCTGCCAGTGGAAATGGCAGTTCATCTACATATCCTTTGTATGAGTTGATGTGAGAGCCATCTACAGCAATTAGGATAAGATGACACACAGCATTCCCAGTTTAAAAAGACTGCAAAACCTGGAAGCCAGTTCTGAAAAGAAATACCATTCTACCTCTAACTTTTTAAAGTAATTTCTATTGGTGAAGAAAATAAATTGAGTTGTTACTGACATAGCCCAATAAAGTATTCTCACCGACAATGAAAAAGTGAATCAATAACTAAATCAGCTAGATCTACTGGAAATACAGTCATGCGCAAAATTAAGTACCCCCCATGGAAAGGTTAAAATTAATGTAATGGTGTACTGTGGAAAAAGTAAAGATACCCTTGGTCCCGAAAGCTAGTTCTCTTGCTCCATTTAGCAAATCACTTTTTGCAGACTATGCAATTTATGTCCACGAGTCTCTGACAAACAGAGTGAAGTTTTGGACCATACACCCAAGAAAAAAAAAAAAACAACCTTTAGTGGAAAGAGGTTTGTGGGTTTTCTTGCATGAATTGCCTATTAAAAATTCTGCCACAGCATTTTGATTGGAATCAAATCATGCTTTAACTAGGCCAGGCTATAACCCTCTATTTCTTCATTTTCAACTATTTTTTCATGGATTTGATAGTGTGCTTCAGATTATGTTATTTGTAGATTATTTACTTACAGTGGATTAAAAAAAAAAAAAAAAAAAAAAAGAAGAAGGTTGATTGATTTCTTTTACAATCCGTGCCAGATTAATTGGTATCTGCAATCTTTTCCCCCCCAAGGGCTTCAGAGAGCACATTTGATTATGGCATGATGACATCACTAACAAGAACAACACCAGACTAACTACAGAGTATGAAGGTGTAACCTGTCTTGGATAAGGGGGCTCTAATCATCAGCATCTGACCTCATGAAGTGGTCGTAAATGTATTGGTGTATTTACTTTTTCCATGTGACAAATCTGCATTATGATACATCATGTCAATTTTATGTGTCATGTGTTTACCTTTATTTGTAGGAATATCTAATGTTTGCCTGTTAAAATGTTGAAAGAGTAAACAGTTTTCATGGGGTGTACTTCACAGAACAGTTTTCATGGGGTGTACAGTTTTCACAGACCTAAGTGCCTGTTTTTTTTGAACAGCCAATTCCCAATTTTTTAAAACAAAATTTTGTCCACTGACACCAAAAAACCCATACCTATTTCTTTAGCTACAGTATAAGCCTCTTCTGGCGTTCTTGCAACATAGCCTTTAGGTATTGAGATGCCAGCATCTTTAAGAAGACCCATGCTAAGATACTCGTGCAGTGATAGGTTCCTGTGCTGTTGTGCCTGTAACCCATGACAACCAAAGAGACCTGGGAATCCACCAAGGACCTGCAAGAAAAGTAAAATATGACCATAAACAAATAGCCAAACCAGTATTGTAAATCAAGTTAGCTTTTAGTAGTCAGATATCATAACAAAACAAAAAAAAAAAAAAAAGAAAAAAAGGGGACACATTTTCAGAAAAGCCAAACAGCCTATAACAACTAATATTGTTGTTGCCCTCTGGTTTTTATTAAATTATGCATTACCTACTTCCTTTCACACACTTCAGGCTTTGTCATTATGCAAGCGCATGGCGTTTTTATTTATCTCCCAAGAGTTTGCTTTGACACCACGCATATATACACAGGATACTTTTAATTTTTCCTTTTTTAAAAAAAAAAAAAAAAAAATTTAGAAGCAGCTGTTTAACGTTTTTTATGCTAAAGGAATCTTTAAAATATTTTGCAGGTCTCAGGGACTCCCTACTACAAATTCATAGTACACTAGCCAGCAAGACCAGCAAGTTGTACAGGATTTAAAAATAAAAGAACAAAATAAATACATATGTTTTGACAAAATGATTTTCAATTCTAATTTGCATAAAATTAAACAAATGACCAGACACAAAAAAAAGTGAAAATTGTAGCACACCTTATGTTACATTCTGACTTTATAAAACGTCTTGGAAACAGGAGGACCTACCCAAACTAACTATTCATTTTAATAAAATCAGGAAAGCCCGTGCACTACATAGTTGTACAATCAGATTGTAACGTGTGGAGAATTTTACACTGGCAGTTGGTAGAGAAGCGTTTCCTTATATTTCCACTCAGTGTAGAAGTGCCCCTCATACTGGATACAAGTAGAAACTTGCACCCCTTATATTGGTTGTCATTTTAGACAAGAGATCAGTACATCAATTACTCATTGCTGAAAGATTGCCTAGCAACCTCTATAGGAACTCTAGGTCTCCAATAAACCCTGGTTGAGAAAGCATGGTTTAGAGAAAGAATCACTAAAATGGCATACTACAGTCTAGCTCTGGACTAAGGCTGGCCATACACTATACAATTTTCTGTCCAGATTTACCTTCAACTATGTAACTATGTAGTACAAGAGCCTGCCTGATTGGATACAATTGAAAGTTTTATTAGGCTTGACCTCCTATTATATGTTTTTTTTGTAAATCTAAACCAAAAATCAAGAAAATTGTATATTGTATGGCCAGCCTATGTGACCATTTTACCAGACCACCAGTCTCCAATGCAGGTTCCACCCCACCGCAGCAAGGATTGGTTATTAAGGGCTCGTTCACACTTGGCTGTTTTACCAACGCTTGCCAAACGCCCCTATAGCATTTGGCAAGCAATGGTCCGGCATTGCGGAGCGTTTTTTAACGCTTGGCAAACGCCGCATGCGCGGTTTAGCGGCGGTTGCTAGGCGTTTGCCGAGCGGTAAAAACGCCCCACAAACGCCTATAATGCAGTTTGAATGGTGTTACTGCCCCGCAAACGCCGGCCGGGCGTTTGCGGAGTGGCACCATAGACTAGATTAGGAGGCTTCAACGCCTCCTGACTCGCCCAGAGGCGTCCGTTTTGCCGTGATGCAACGCAAACGCTCCCATTAGAACAGCACCATGTGCTGTAATGTGCAGAATTGGCAGAGGTGTTTGGGAAGCGGTAAAAACGCTTCCCAAACGCCTCTCTGCCGCCTGCACACAACGCTAGTGTGAACGTAGCCTAAGACAGCCAACAGCTTCATATGACGACAGAAGTGGAACTTCTTCTGTACAGACCTGCAGCCTGCTCTGCTCATCACCCTCTGCCTGCCTGGGGCTAAAAAGCATAGGGCTACTCCGATGGGGACATCTAATGTAAGGGGGTACATTGAAAAATACAAATATTATTGAAATGCTATGGAAAATTGTACACTGCCTCTTTCATTGATAGACATAAAATGGCTATATATACACACTAGAATCTGAATCATAGTACAAATATGAGATTCACACCTCTGCCGATAGAAAATTTTACTGACCAGACTTCCTTGAATTGTATTTCAATACCCCAGATTTATAGTGTAGTTTGATATTTTACAACAAAGTGTTAAATGGCATGATTCCAGCTTTTCTCTGTTTATTATTGACAAGATTTAGAGAAACCTGTTAATGCGAGTAAAGATAAATGGTTTATAAGGATAACAACTACGCAGTTACTGGGAAATTACAAAGTTGTCCAACTCTGCCTTATTCATAAAGCAATTATGAAACAACCAACACTCATAAGGTGATAATGACAATGAACTGATTTTCTAGGAAAGGAAGGATGCTTTTAGGGCTGAAACAACTAAATCAACTTAATCCATAATAAAAGTAGTTGTCAACAATATCATTGATTAGTTGGTAAAATAACTAACTATCTTGCCTGCATACAGAATGCATTATTTTGTACAAGTCGCTATACACAGTGCAGCACACATACAGCTCAGTACACCGTTCATACATGTCACTAAGTGTCAGAGAACTTGTTCTGGGTAGGAGAAGGAAGTGATGTAAGGGCTCTATACAGAGAAGATCAGCATCTCAACCCAGAGAGGCTGGAGGCTGATAGACTGGAGGCAATATAAGGCATTACAATTACATTTAAAAGTAAAGGTTTACCAGTACTGTCCATTATATTTAAAGCAGTAGTGAACCCCGTAAAAAAAAAAAAAAAAAAAAAAAAAAAAAAAAAAAAAAAACACCACAACAAAATCCAAAACACCTACAATGTCATAATGTGCATCGCATACTAGCACATTATGTGAAACAACTTAAAACCCTCCAGTGGTGTACTGCCACCGCTGACAGGACTTCCATCTTCACAGGCTCCAGCAGCTTGAATGGCTGAGCTGTGATGGCGTCATCCCCCGTCCCTGCGCTCGGGAGTCACTATTTACGTACTCAGCTCTGAAGTAATGGCACAGGCATGCCGTTCCTTCAGAGCGAACATGCCAGTGTCTTTTGCAAGTAAACAACTCCTAAACGGTGCATGTTTAGGAGATATTTAGAGTACCTACAGGTAAGCCTTATTATAGGATTACCTGAAGGTACCAGTAAAAAAAAATTGAGTTTACTACCACTGTAAAAAGGACTATATCCATGCAAAAGAAAAAAAAAAATTCAGCCTTTAGTACTACTTTAAAGGTGGTTGTAAACCCTTACATATACCTAGTGAAATGTTTGACCTCCGGTGATAAAGAGAGATTAAACAAACCCTCCTACATACGTTGTACCTGTTTATCTGCAGTATTCTCTTCTCTGCATCTGTTCAAAGTACAGAATGTATACAGCTTGACTGAGAGTTCAGAAAAAAGGGTGTGGAAAGCTGAAAAGCACACACTGCATAGATCAGTGAAGAGAGCTCTAAATGCGGATTGGAGGGAAGAGACACACCCCCTTTCACACAGCTCACAGTAACAGAGCTGAGGCTGTTAATCTGTCGGAGCTCCCTCCAGTCACCATTTTTCTCTTGGTGTCAGGAATACTTGTCAAAAGTGATTTGTGTCAATAGCAGAGGAACAAGGCAGCAAACAGAAATGACATTAGTGCTCTTAATTGTGACAAGTACACACTATAGAGGAATAGACTTTGTTCACATTTCATGTCTGAGGTTTACAACCACTTTAAATACAAAAAGATTTATATTCCCCCTCCCTTTCCCCACTCTTCATGTAGCTTGAGGTCTGACTCCCAATTTCAGAACGTGTAAACATAACATTTCATTCTCCTGATATGTTCCTGCTGTACTATGTACTTGTATGAAAAAGAATCCTGTTCTCTTTATATTGCTTCCTTAGTGTGAAATCCCTGATGTTCCTGCCAATCTCTCTGCTTTCCTGTTAAAAACTGGCCACGTTAGGCAGGAGTGCAGAGCATGGTCAGTTTTCTGGCTGTGCTGGGAAGCCGGCCTGCTCTCCAATTATCAGACCTGTGCTGACACGCTATCTGCACAGCCATTCACTGGGAAGGCCAGTATGCTATCACTTCTAGTAAAAAAAAAATATATATATATATTTATATATTCTCTCTCTCTCCCTCTTGCTCTCTCAAGGTGACTGCAGAGCTCAACTTCAGGTCTTCACAGGACTGAGGCTGAGCTCTGAATCACTTTTGCACAACAGTTGTTTTCTTATTCCGGGTCACAAGCCTGCACAATGGCCTTTTTTCTCTGTCAGTTGACCATATCAACCGCGCTTATACTTATCAGATGACGGTTTCCTGGAAACTGTATATGCCATTATAACCTTTATTACTGCCTCACAACATGGCAAATAAATTGACATATTATAAACTATAAACACACACACACACACACACACACACACACACACACTAAAGCAGCCGATGACAGCACTGGCTGATGTGCACTGGGTTCTCAATGGACAGCATGCAATGTACAGAAGATATAAAAAGTCTACACACCCCTGTTAAAATGCCAGGTTTCTGTGAAATAAAAAATATTAGACAAAAAAAAATAATTTCAGAACTTTTTCCCCTTTAATGTAACTTATAAGCAGTACAGCAGTTGAACGACAAACTGAAATCTTTTAGGTGGAGGAAAGTAAAAATAAAAAAAATAAAAAATAATACGGTTGCATAGGTGTGCACACCCTTAACCATTTGCCTACTGGGCCCTATTACCCCCTTCCTGCCCAGCCTAAATTCAGCTTCCACTGCTCTCGCACGTTGAATGACAATTGTGCAGTCATGCAATACTGTACCCAAACAAAAGTTTTATAATTTTATTGAGACCGATAGAGCTTTCTTTTGGTGGTATTTAAATTACCACTGGGGTTTTTATTTTTTGCCAAACTAAAAAAAGGACTGAAATTTTTGAAAAAAAAGTTTCTCAGTTCTGTTATAAAATTTTGTAACTAAGTAATTTTTCTCCTTCACGGATGTGCACTAATGAAGCTGCAGCGATGGCACTAACAGGTGGCACTGATGGGCATTGACAGGCATCACTGATGGCCACTGATAGGCAGCACTGATTGGAACTGTTCAGCAGCAGTGACGGGCACCGATAGGTGG